TAATGGGTACTATTACATCTGTGCAGGGAGAGTTTCAGAGCAGGATTTGCATTTAAGAACAGGGTTTTGTAAATGTAGTTGACACAAGAGAATTTGTGGAGTGAGATTATGTTTAGCATGTTTAGGGAGTTAAACAAGGGGAGCTGAGTGTTGTCTGAAAGCAGAATTTGTTATTATTCTGATAGCAGATTTTTGCTGGGTAATGATGGACTTGAGGTGGTTTGCAGTGGTTGAACCCCATGCACAGATACCATAATTAAGATAGGGATAGATTAGTGCATAATATAGAGAGATGAGAGCAGAGTTAGGTACATAATATCTGATTTTAGAGAGTATACCAACTGTTTTAGAGACTTTCTTAGTTATGTGTTGTATGTGGGTACTGAAGTTGAGTCTCTTGTCTAGGAATAGGCCAAGAAACTTTCCATCATTTTTATTGCTAATGTTTACATTGTCTATCTGAAGCTGAATTGCATTTGTAGATTTGCTTCCAAATAAGATGTAGTAGGTCTTTTCTATGTTAAGTGTTAGTTTGTTGGTTGACATCCATAGGTGGACTTTTTTTAGTTCATTATGGGTTGGGGTTAGAGTAGATGATGGTAGTATCCTCAGCAAACAAAATAGGTTTCAGAATGTTAGAGACATTAGGCAGATCATTGATGTAAATAAGAAATAAGAGAGGTCCCAAAATGCTGCCCTGTGGCACTCCAACGGTTATTGGTAGAGTAGGAAAGGTTATATTATTGATGGCTACACATTGGTGTCTATCACTAAGATAGGATTGGATATAGTCCAGTGTATGGCAGTGTATGGTAAAATTATAATCTAATTAAATTTTGTAATAAAGTAGCCCTAGACCCCAAATGAAAATGTGCAAAATATTAGAGCTCAATCTTCTTTGGTTCTTAAATAACAGGTCCATATTGAATGGATTCTTGTCCCGTTAATGCATAAATACTACAAAAATTACCAACTTTGACCCTTTGTTAAATCACGACTAGTTCCCAGAGAGGTGTGAAATTTGGCATACCAGGGCAACTTTTGGTGCGGAATACAGCAGTGTAATAAAAAATGTAGTTTGGATAGCCATTCAGCTACTAATCCATGCTAATATCACTGCCAATATATCTCAAAATATCTCGATATGTGTCATTCCCAATTTGGTTGGCTCCAATCTTGGGGCCAACCATTTTTGTCATATGCATCAATAATATAAATGAGAATATTGTAATGAAAATGATAATGCTTAAGAAAGAGTACATAATAAAAGCAATACATGAATAGTGAAAGATTCAAGTAACAAAGGTACAGTGACTAAAGCTGCTAATACTGTATTCGTTTGCCTTGTTCGGGTAGAAGGTAGACACAGTAGTCGCTTCTGTATATATTTATTGACCGAGACAGCAAGGTATATATCTGCCTAGCCGAGGTCCTTCTACTCTGAGTCTGTGAGGAGAACTGCGGCTGCTGGGAGCATGGCTTGATGCTCCTCTGTCTGGCATGACGTCAGAGGCCTACTTGCCTGTGATTGGTTACATTTCAACTGACAGAATTTGAGTATAACAACTGTATGCAGTATTGGCATTTCGGGTATAACATAAAAATTAAGAAAGTATTATATAAGATTAATGGGGTAATTCTTAAAACTACATGAAACAATATAACATGAGTTTATGGAGAGAAATTAAATTTGGGAAATGATTGGCAATTATTGCATGATATTTAGAAACTGTAAACATTGCAACAAGTACAATGCCTAAAGCCACTTAAACATAGTGTGTTTTGGCCATAATATGGACAAAATTGTGAACAACATAGAATCTCAATGTGGTACACTGTAACTTAAAACTAAATGACATCAGAAACATTAATGAATTGGAGTAGGGAAATAGAAATAGGATAACTATAACTACATGATGGTTGGACCTTCAAAATTTGCAACAGAACATCAGTTAGTAATTTCCACATAAACAGATGATATACAATTTTTTATTAATTTTCTTATGGCAGATAACAGTAACCCGTAACAGTACAGGTTCATTAATTATTGTTCAGTGACCGCAAATCATAGATTGACATTTAGGAATTAAAGGTGATTACATAGTTAATTATGTAGTTCATAGTTTCTCTTTTTAATCTAGTTGAGAGAAGGAGAGTCTTTGATGTAATTAGGGAGGTACTCGTCTAGTTGTGCGTGCGGGGGTTTAGTTTCAGTTCTCTGGTCCTGCCTCTCAACCGTCAATCAACTGGTGTACAGATTCCTGAGCCTATTGGGCTCTATCATATCTACATTTGAAACTGTGTATGAAGTCAGCTTCCACCACATCACTGCCTAATGCATTCCATTAATTAATTACTCTGACACTGAAAAACTTCCCTCTAATATATTTATGGCTTATTTGGGTACTCAGTTTCAACCTGTTTCTTCAAGGTCATTCCATATTTTGGGACCCGTGATTTGCAGAGCATTTCTGCTTTGGTTTAATTGATCTTGGAATATCAGAAAGATATTTGTTACTAGTGTGGTGCTCACGTGTTTTATTAAAGCCCTCTAGTAAGTGCTTAAGGTTGGGATTATTATTGAAGTTCAGAGTTTTATATACAGTATTTATATAGAGTACACTTGACAGGATGTGCAGTGACTTAATATTTAACATATTCAAAGATTTAAGTAAGGGAGCTGAATGCTGCCTGGGGCTTGAGTTTGTTAATAGTACAAACCACATAATCAAATTTGCAGATGCACTAAGATTTGTGGTAAAGTAAGAAGCAAAAATAATTTCTGGCCTTCCACAGAAATCTACACACTCCACACTCCACAAATGGTCACATGACTGGTAGACTTGCTTTTCAGTATTGAAAAATGCAACACCATGCATGTATAGCATAACAATGCACATCACAACTGTTATATAAACAAAATACCATACAGCCAATTGATGAAGAAAATGATTTAGGAGTCGGGATCCACTATTCATTCAAAGTTGTACAAGTGGGAGCTGCTATAAAAAAGACAACTAAATCCTAGGACTAGTCAAATGAACCTTTGACTTCAAGGAAAAGGAAGTGGTTATTCAACTGTATAAGTCTGGTGAGTCCCATCTAGACAACTGTATGCCAAGTATGGAGGTCACACCTTCAAGAGAACATATCTGCTTTGGAGAAAGTACAACAGTGACAAAAATCATCCCAGAACTTAAGTCAGCTCTCATACCATGAATAGTTGTGGGCCACAATACTGTACTAACAAAGCAAACCAGACATGATAGGTCTGATCTCACCGAGACCTTTAAAATATTAAACAAGTTTGAAGATATTAATCCAGACCACTTCTTTGAAAGGTTACATATAGTGCATTAAAGTAGCAACAGGCTCAAGCTCTTCAAGCTACAATGTATGACAGAAAACTGGATATATTTTTTCACCTATAATGTTATAAACCCATGGACTAGCCTACCTGCCAATGCTGTAAATGACAAGATATTACTCCAATTCAAAATCCAACTGGAAAATCATCATGAGTATTGGTGTGGGGTTTATTACCATGTAGGAGGTCCTTTGACAAGCCTTCAGCTTCCTGTCACCATCTAGGCCACTAGAAAGATAGTGTTGCATATTATGTTGAAATTTATATTGTTGTTTATGTTGCACATTGTCATATTGCTATCAAGTTGAATGTCATCAGGCTACTTTTTTTATTTATTCATTTATATATACTGTACAAGAGTTGTTACATTCTTATACAGCCACTAGCACACACAGTGTTTCGGGCAAGTCCTTAATCCTAATGTTCCTCGGAATATGACCCGCCAAATCGTTTAACAACCAGGAACCCATTTAACTGTTGGGTTAAACAGAGGCTACAGGTAAGATTGGCGCCCGGTATATCCTCCCCGGCCAGGATATGAACCCAGGAGAAAGCGCTCGTGAAACGTCAAACGAGTGTCTTACCACTACACCACGCGAACTTACGTTGGATATCACCACATTATCATGTTGTTTATTATCATGTTATTTAGCACGTTGATTATCAGATTTCTCATTATTTTTTCCATCACATTGATTGTAATCGAGTGCTTCTAATCATAGGGTTAACACCATATTACTCATCTCCATGTTGCTTATCAGCATGTTGCTCATCAGCATGTTGCTCATCAGCATGTTGCTCATCAGCATGTTGCTCATCAGCATGTTGCGTATTAGCATGTTGCTCATCAGCATGTTGCTTATCAGCATGTTGCTCATCAGCATGTTGCTCATCAGCATGTTGCTTATCAGCATGTTGCTCATCAGCATGTTGCTTATCAGCATGTTGCTCATCAGCATGTTGCTCATCAGCATGTTGCTCATCAGCATGTTGCTCATCAGCATGTTGCTCATCAGCATGTTGCTTATCAGCATGTTGCTTATCAGCATGTTGCTTATCAGCATGTTGCTCATCAGCATGTTGCTCATCAGCATGTTGCTCATCAGCATGTTGCTTATCAGCATGTTGCTCATCAGCATGTTGCTCATCAGCATGTTGCTCATCAGCATGTTGCTCATCAGCATGTTGCTTATCAGCATGTTGCTCATCAGCATGTTGCTTATCAGCATGTTGCTCATCAGCATGTATCTTATCAGCATGTTGCTTATCAGCATGTTGCTTATCAGCATGTTGCTTATCACCATGTTGCTTATCAGCATGTTGCTTATCACCATATTATTCATCACCATGTTGCTTATCACTATATTATTCATCACCATGTTGCTTATCATCATATTATTCAACACCATGTTGCTTATCACCATATTACTCATCACCATGTTGCTTATCACCATATTACTCATCACCATGTTGCTTATCACCATATTACTCATCACCATGTTGCTTATCACCATATTACTCATCACCTTGTTGCTTATCACCATATTACTCATCACCATGTTGCTTATCACCATATTACTCATCACCATGTTGTTTATCAACATGTTGTATATCATCGCTCTCACTGTTTCAGCTCCTGGGAAACTCTCAAAAGGAATATGAGAAACAAGTGGCGGAATACAGCATCAAGACTCAACAGCGCTATCGAGGAAATCTGGGCAAGTACTCTAGCAGAAACTGTGTACAGTGCTAGACTAGGGGTCTTAGGGTTTGAGAAGCACTGTATAGTGAAGGGATGAAACACTTGGTTCCTGCTTCATTACTAGGTTGTTGTTGTTGTTCTAGATTTAGCCACTCGGAACGGAATGTCCCGTGTGGAACTGGTTATAGTGAGCCCGTAAATGCATTACTAAGGATGAGTGAGGTTTATGAAGTACTGTATTGCAATGTAGTGGTGGCTCAGGCGAAGTGGTAGACAGCTCAGTTGAAGTAGAAGTGGCTAGGGGGAAGTGATTGTGGCTCGGGGGAAGTAGTGGTGGTAGCTCGGGGGAAGTAGTGGTGGTGGCTCGGGGGGAGTAGTGGTGGTGGCTCGGGGGGAAGTAGTGGTGGTGGCTCAAGTGAAGTGGTAGACAGCTCAGTTGAAGTAGAAATGGCTAGGGGGAAGTAATTGTAGCTCGGGGAAAGTAGGGGTGGCGGATCAGGGGGAGAAGGGGTGGTGGCTCGGGGGGAAGTAGGGGTGGTGGCTCGAGGGGAAGTAGGGGTGGTGGCTCGAGGGGAAGTAGGGGTGGTGGCTCGGGGGGAAGTAGGGGTGGTGGCTCGGGGGGAAGTAGGGGTGGTGGCTCGGGGGGAAGTAGGGGTGGTGGCTTGGGGGGAAGTAGGGGTGGTGGCTCGGGGGAAGTAGGGGTGGTGGCTCGGGGGGAAGTAGGGGTGGTGGCTCGAGGGGAAGTAGGGGTGGTGGCTTGGGGGAAGTAGGGGTGGTGGCTCGGGGGGAAGTAGGGGTGGTGGCTCGGGAGGAAGTAGAGGTGGTGGCTCGGGGGGAAGTAGGGGTGGTGGCTCGGGGGGAAGTAGGGGTGGTGGCTCGGGGGAAGTAGGGGTGGTGGCTCGGGGAAGTAAAGGTGGTGGCTCGGGGGAAGTAGGGGTGGTGGCTCGGGGAAGTAGGGGTGGTGGCTCGGGGGAAGTAGGGGTGGTGGCTCGGGGAAGTAAAGGTGGTGGCTCGGGGGAAGTAGTGGTGGTGGCTCAGGGGAAGTATTGGTGGTGACTAGGGGAAGTAAAGGTGGTGGCTCAGAAGGAAGTAGTGGTGGTGGCTCAAGGAAGTGGTTGTGGCTCGGGGGAAGTAGTGGTGGTGACTCAGGGGAAGTAGTGGTGGTGGCTCGGGGGGAAGTAAGGGTGGTGGCTTCGGGGGGAAGTAGGGGTGGTGGCTCGGGGGAAGTAGTGGTGGTGGCTCAGGGGGAAGTAGTGGTGGTGGCTCAGGGGGAAGTAGAGGTGGTGGCTCAGGGGGAAGTAGTGGTGGTGGCTCAGGGGGAAGTAGTGGTGGTGGCTCCGGGGAAGTAGTGGTGGTGGCTTCTGGGAAAGTAGGGGTGGTGGCTCGGGGGGAAGTAGGGGTGGTGGCTTGTAGGGAAGTAGGGGTGGTGGCTCTGGGGAAGTAGTGGTGGTGGCTCGGAGGGAAGTAGTGGTGGTGGCTCGGGGGGAAGTAGGGGTGGTAGCTCGGGGGAAGTAGGGGTGGTGGCTTGGGGGAAAGTAGGGGTGGTGGCTCGGAGGGAAGTAGGGGTGGTGGCTCGGGGGCAGTAGGGGTGGTGGCTCAGGGGGAAGTAGTGGTGGTGGCTCGGGGGAAGTAGTGGTGGTGGCTCGGGGAGAAGTAGTGGTGGTGGCTCGGGGGAAGTAGTGGTGGTGGCTCGAGGGAAGTAGTGGTGGTGGCTTGGGAGAAGTAGGGGTGGTGGCTCAGGGGAAGTAGTGGTGGTGGCTCGGAGGGAAGTAGAGGTGGTCGCTCGGAGAAAGTAGGGGTGGGGGCTCGGGGGAAGTAGTGGTGGTGGCTCGGGGGAAGTAGTGGTGGTGGCTCGGGGGAAGTAGTGGTGGTGGCTCGGGGGGGGGGGGGGGGGGGGAAGTGGTCATGGGTTGGGGGAAGAGGTGTTGGCTCGGGGAGGTGGTGGTGGCTCGGGGGAAGTGGTGGTGGCTTGGGAGAAGTAGTGGTGGTGGCTTGGGGAAGTGGAGATGGCTTGGGAGAAGTAATAGTGGCGGCTCGGGGGAAGTGGTGCTGGCTTGGGGGAAGTGGTGGTAGCTTGGGGAAGTGGTGGTGGCTTGGGAGAAGTAGTGGTGGTGGCTTGGGGGAAGTGGAGATGGCTTGGGGGAAGTGGTAGTGGCTCATGGAAGTAGTGGTGGTGGCTCAGGGGAAGTAATGGTGGTGGCTCAGGGGAAGTAGTGGTGGTGGCTCAGGGGAAGTAGTGGTGGTTGCTCGGGGAATAGGTTGTGGCTCGGGGGAAGTAGTGGTGGTGGTTCGGGGGAAGTAGTGGTGGTGGCTCAGGGAAAGTGGTGGTGGCTTGGGAGAAGTAGTGGTGGTGGCTTGGGGGAAGTAGTGATGGCTTGGGGGAAGTGGTGGTGGCTCGTGGAAGTGGTGGTGGTGGCTCGGGGGAAGTGGTTGCGGCTCGGGGGAAGAAGTGGTAGTGGCGGCAGCAGTGGCTTGGGGTTAAGTGGTGATGGTGGTGGTGGCAGCTTGGGGTTAAGTAGTAGTGGTGGCTCAGTGTTATGTGGTGGTGGCAGCGGCAGCTCGAAGTTAAGTGGTGATGGTGGCGGCAGTGGCGGCTCAGGGCTTAATGGTGATGGTGGTGGTTGCGACTTGGGGTTAAGTGGTAGTGGTGGTGGTGGCGGCTCGAAGTTAAGTACTGGTGGTGGCTTGGGGAAAGTGGCTGTGACTCGGGGAAAGTAGTGGTGGCATGGTTAGAGTAAGTTCCCAAAATGATATTGGAGAGACTGACCTTGATTAAGCAGACAGCATATTCAGCAGTTATCATTAAGTCTTGTCCATGTTCACAGGTGTGGCAATGAGTCACCAGTGCTGTATATATATCACTTGCATTATAAGTGCATACTTGTGGGTGTGTGATTACCTTTTTTGTGGGTTACTAGATAAAGCTATCTTCCTGTGTACATTATTTTTATTTTCTCCTTAACATTATCTTAACAATACCTCACCCAGCAAAGCATTGTAGTCATCTATAACTCTTAAGAGAAATATGTTCTGACATCTCTACTGCAGCTATTTTATATGCTAACAAAAGTTCAATGTCCACTGGTTCTACCTGTAGCTAGAGAAATTAAATGTTTTTTATCCCTCTTTTTTTTTTTACATATCTTTTGATACATGGTTTGACAAATGTTACATATAATATTTCAGCATTTTCCATCCTTTACAGTAATTGAATGGTAGTCAAAATTCCTCAACATTACATACAAAGCTCAACAATGTTTAACCTTTAACCAGTTAAAAGAGAAACAAACAGGTACCGAGTCACTGAACTGTAGTAAATTTTACTTATACGTTTGTCACTATTCAGTATACAGTAACTATTATACCTGTAGAGCTGTGGTCCAGCACATCCTCCTGTTTAGTAGGTACTTATAGTAATGATGAGGACCATAGTACATATTCAGATGTACAATACAATTAGAAAGTAGAAATCTGTACTATTGAATTTGGACAAACCGGAAAAGGTTTTGTATTTATGTTGCAAAGACAACCTAAACTAACCTCGCCTAATCTTCCTAGGCCTAATACATGCTATCTGAGGCCTAATATAGTACATGTGTGTGCTATGCACACACATGTACGAACCAGAACCTGGCCCCCTCAGAGAGGCATGAGGAGCAATGGCCTATAGAAAACCCCCCCCATGTGGTTGGAAGCATTCTATGTCTGCCATTGAGCAGGTCAGGCACCCAGGAAGGTAAGCATTCCAAAACAAACCCTTATTCTAGTTAAGAAATTGCTACTGAAAGCTGAACTAGTGGACAGAACTCTCCAAACAAAAATGAGCAAACGATCATGACGTCGCCGCACTGCCATCTGTGCAGCTTCCCCCTTCCTGGGAGGGAGAAGGGGGAGCCTCAGACCCCTCGTTCCAGCTACCCAAAACCCCAGTTCTAAAGCTGATGTGATAGACTGAAGTCATGTGCTCTGGCTCCTGATTTGTCTCGAGCTCTGCGCCTAGTGGTGTGGGGACTGTTCCTTGGGGGTGCACGAGCCAGTAGTAATTCTTCAGTAATCGGGCTGCATGCGCCTAGGGCTACCTTCCCTAGGTGCCCGGTAAATACTGCACATGAGGCTTGGAGCAGTCTTCCACAAGTTCCTTCGGTTCTGCCTCTGCTTGGTCGTTTGCTGCTCGGCTTTCAGTCACCCTTTGTGTGCTGGGGTGTTTCTGGCACCCTTGTTCACTTTAGAGTAAGAGAGAGGTTGCACTGGAAGGGGCGCAGGCATCATGCAGCTTCAAATGCAGGTTCCCTCCCTTTCAGCTGCACTGGTTGCAAAGGACTTGTGCGCTCGTGGCCTGCTGACATTGGTCCTTTTGCGGTTTGTCCCATTGACGGAGGGATGGGGGGGGGAGGCTCGCTCTGTTCGCTTACACCTGGTCTCGTGATTCCTGGGCATTTCGGGTCATTTCTGACGACCTGCGATGGTGTTGGATGGCCCTCCTCCTTCGGCAGATTTGGGGCTGGCAGTGAAGGTACTCAGGTACGGTAAAAATGAGGACCTTAAACATAATACAGGGTACAAAACACAATCAAATGTGCCCATAGTAGGAGAACAGCATGTTTGGGAATAATGATTTGGGAATAATGATGTCTGACGACCTAACATTTAGGGAGCATAACCAAGCAAATATTGTGACAGCCAGAAAAATGATAGGATAGGTTACGAGAACTTTCAAATCTAGAGATCCTATCACAATGGTTGTACTCTTCAAGTCACTTGTGTTGTCCCGTCACTTACCCCTTCAGAGCAGGAGAGATTGCTGAAATAGAGGGAATACAGAGAACATATACGTCATGCATAGACACAATATAGCGCCTAAATTATTGGGATCGTCTCAAAGCCCTCCAAATGTACTCACTAGAAAGAAGACGAGAGAGATATCAAATAATATACACCTGGAAGATACTGGAGGGCCAAGTACCAAATCTACACAGTAAAATAACAACGTACTGGAGTGAACGATATGGAAGAAAA